AATTTTTTAACCTAAAGAAAGTAATACTCAAGCTTTTATGATGTTAAAGATTATGATGTTTAGATATACACTAAAACTATTCCATCATTCATTTCTTTCTATCTTTCTGTTTGTAACATCTGTTACTTGTCCTGGTATAAGTTGATAATGATCGTTTACGATCAAAAATTTTCGTATATATAATAAAACAAAAATAAATCATTTAAAGATTATACTAAATAAAAATTTTTTATTATTTCAATCTTAATTTTACTTGTTGAAACATTAGGAAAAGATACTTCTTAATGTATTTATATTTTTCCATTCTAATATGCAATATCAACAATAAAATAAAATTGTTTTAATAAAATAATGATTAATGGACACATCAATCATTGTGTTCATAGATAATAACTTTATTAATGTAAATTCTATAAAACTACATTGATTACTATTGATAATTTAAACTATATATCTAGAAGATAAAATTAAATTTTTTTTTTTGAAGAATAAATATCCAGAAACAATAAAATTGATGAGAGAATAGATTATTCTTTTCGAAAAGAAAAAAGATTTATTTATGGTTGAAATTAAACACTATCGAAGTGTAGATTAATATAAGATTGAAATATTATTTAGATTTATATGTAATTAAATATTCAGCATAGGCTTGTGCATCATGATATGTAACAAAAATATGATTTCCATCTGTTGTTGAATCGAATCCAAGTGGTCGAGTTTTCATTGAACTGTTTCCTATTGTTGTTTTTCCAATAAGAACACGAGCAAGAAACATACATCGTTCTTCCAGTAAATTTGGCTTTGTATATTGGTGAGAATAAGCTGCATTTGATGAAAAATAAACACCTGCACCATACATTGTTCCTAAAAAAATAACAAAGATTAAATCGAAAAGAGAACAGAAAAACAAATGATACCATGAATTCCAGCAAAACTTCTGTTAAAACAATCTGCAATAATTAAATTTGCTACTTCTTCTTGACAACCGTGATATAAATGTTTTTCTGTATCTTTATTAAATCGTTTTTTAAAATCTGTCCAATGTGCCATATATTGCATAAACCATCGTGCATTTTGAATTCGTTCAATTTTTATAATTTTTTTATATTCTCTTTTCATACCTTCATCAAATCGCTTAAAAATAGATTTATATTCATCAGTATCTTTAGATACAATAAGTCTTATTTTATATCCTTTTGATATTTGCCATGTTGCAGGTAATTGAAATTCCATTGATGCATGAAAATCTATAGAAAGAATCATAAATAAATATATAACAAAAAAGAAACATCTATGAATATATTTTTTATTTTTACCTGATGAAAAAAGTTGTTTACAAAATTCATCATAAACATTTTCTTGATTTGGTTCAATAATAAATTTAACTAAACATAATAATTTTCTTGTTTCCATTTGTTTTTTCATTTCTCTAATCATTGTTTTAACAATAATATCAACAGAACAAGCGTGTTTTCCACATCCAATAGCTGGAAATGCAATTGAAGTATAATTACATGATATAACATTTTGCATAACATTCCATATGAGATCAATTATTGATTGTTGAAGAATTTCAGGATCTTTATTTGGTTTCCATTTAATAAAAAAAATTCTTTTACAAGGTAATTCTCCTGATGGAGTTGAAATAATTAATGAACTTGGATTATCTTCATATGCTTGATTATAAGCATGTTCAACTTGATATCCAGCAGCTTTTATTAAAGCTTGTCTTAAATTTTCTGATGATGAACTTCCTATAATAACATCTACCTATGTTGCATTTAACAACAACAAAAAAAAGACAGAGAGAGAGAGAGACAAAGTAAATAATATTTTAAATTAATAAAAATAATTACATTTTGTTTTGTAATATCTCCTTGTTCAATTTCAATTTTTCCTTCTTGAATTATTATTGAGATTGATTTTGTTATTGAAGTTTGTTGTTGTTGAAATAAATTAAGTTGTTTTTGAAATTCATTATAAATATTTATTCTATCAGGTTGAATTACAAATAAAATTTTCATTGAATATTCAATTAATTGTTGATGAATTTCTTCAATAAATGTTTCAGCAATAAGTTCAATTGAACATCCATATTCACCACAACCAACAGCTGGAAATGCAATACTTTTATAATTTTCACTTATTGCTTTCTCTATCACATTTGAAACTAATTTTCGTATTGATTGACAAAGTATATTAGAATCAGAACTAGGTTTCCATAGAACAAAATAAATTGCTTTTGATGCAAGTTTACCACCTGTAGTAACACTAACAACAGAATTTTCAGAAATTTCTTTTATTTTCATTTTAAATAATTTTCTTAGAGAATTTCCACCTGCTACAAGAACACTTTCGACTAAATTTTTCGATAAACAACATATGACAATAACATCACTCTAAATATTTTACAATCAATATTAAATTTTTGCAAAAATAAACTTACTTGTTCATTTATGATATCACCTTGAATAACATTTACTATATTCTTCAATTTTTTTTTACACTTTGATTGCTGCAAAAAGAAAACAAATCATTATAATCAAATAAAAAGGGATTAGTAGTTTTAAAGAGTATTTTTCACTTTCTGAATTGTTGAATGTTTGCCAAAGATCACGATCGAGCTATCGCTACACCAAACTATCAAAACTATTATTCAGAGGTCTTTTTTTGACATTTGTAGTCTCGTTACTTCATTCTGTCGTCATCGTTTTATGTTGAGATTATTGACGTAATCAAAAACATATATACAAAGTATTTCATTTAACTAAGACTTCCGAATTTATCTTGAATTTCAAAGTAATGAAGTAAGAAAACATGACAGATTCTGTTATTTTCATCTCACATTTAATATTAGTAGAGAAACATTAACATACGAAAAAACAATGTGAGAAGAAAATAGAGAAACACGAATTTAACAGACTTTCTGACTTCTGATGTGATTAAAAAAACAAAATCATTCAGCTATCAATAAAATTAAATTTGTTCGTTATTTCATTTATTAATGTTTTCTTTTTACAAATAAGTACATGTTTTTTTCAAAAACATAATAATCTCTTTAGTATTAATATCTTAGATTTATCTGTTATTAAACAAATAATAAGTTCTATTCGACAGATAATTATTAAATTCTAACCTGATCTTGAGAATTTAAAATTTTTGTGTCAAAAACACTTTCATATTTCAAATCATATTGATTCATTTCATCTGTTGAAATAGTTTCATTAAGTTGCACTTGATTTAAATAGAATACAGTGAATAATGTTAAATCTAAATCAGTAGGTAATTGAAAATTATCAACAAGTGTTAATTTATTATTATTATTATTGAGGACTATTTTTGGTATCCATCTTAAAAAACCTGTAATTGTATTTTGTTGATTAGTAAATGTAAAATTTTCAAGATTAAATATAATTTTTTCATTATTAATAAAATTTAAATTGATAGTTATATATTTTTGTCGATAATTCATTGCTCTTTCAAATAAAAAATTAATTTTTATATTAGAATTATACCATGAATTAAGTTGTATTTTATTTGTTGTCATATCAAATATTTCTATTGATGTTGAATTATTTGTTATACCCATTGGATATTTAATAAACATTATTTGCCATTGTGAATAAGAATGAAAATTGAGTAGAGATGAACCTCGACAACGAATCCAAGTGAAATTTTCTGTTTGATTATCATTTATAATGGAATATAAAAATTGTGCAATTGAAATATAATAAATATCTGTTGATTTTTTTAAAACGATTTCAGTTTTAAATTTTTCATCAGACTTAATACTTAAAGATTGTTGAAGTTGAATTGATAGTTCTGATGAAACTGGTAACCATTGATCTTGAGAAAGTGGTTTATATTCCCAAATACAATCAATAATTTCTTCATTTTGTTTAATTTCTTCAAGAATTGTTTTATTTGGTGGTTTATCTAATTTTTTTGAATAACTAAATAAAAGAAAATCATCAAAAAATTTTTGAATATTTTTATTGCATTGTCCATTTTGAATTGGAGTTTCATCTATATTATTTAATATAAAATAATCAGCTCCATTTTCTATTAAATATTTTACAATTTGTAAATGCCCATAAAAACAAGCTGCATGTAATGGTGTTGAACCTGTGGATGCTTTTAATTTTGATTCTTCACTTTTTTCAGAATAATCTTCATTTTTTACATTAATTGAACAATTACCCGTTTCAATAAGATATTTAACTAAATCGAAATGATTATTTCTTGCTGCAGAATATAAAAGTGTTGTTCCATAAAGACCACATTTATTTCTTAATGTTGGATATTTTCTAATAAAATCTTCTACAAGTGATAGATCTCCATTCCATGATGCTTGACAAACATCAAGTAAAGATAATCTACCTTGAAGATTATGTACAAATGGACGTAATATTTCTTTTGTAAATTCAATTGTAAACATTTTTTCTTCAATACTATAATTATATTGATTTAATATATTGAAAAGATAATTTCGATATTGAGAAGATAATAATGAAAGATTACAATCTAATAGACTTGTTATTGTTATTTGAAGATTATTTAATATGTTTTTTTCATTTAATTGACTTGTTTGTTGTTCAAGTATATTGATTGTATTAGAAATAACAGTAATCAATAATTGTATACATTGTTTTAAGTTATTTTCATCCATTTTTTAATTGGTCATATGATCAAATATTCTAAATAAACAAAAATAAATAATAGTTAATGTAAAATAAAATTAAAAGATATTTTTTTTTTGTTATTGAAATAGTTTGAAAAAATTTGTTTGTTTACTGTCACATACAGAAACAATAAATAATTGGCAAATATAAAGTGTTTTACTGATTCAAATATCAATAGGTCAATAAAATTTTTTGAGAAATGATTTAGAATTTCATTAATAATAAAATAAAAATGATATTCAAACAAGTGAAATCAAAATGCATCAATATAAATGATGTTTATTCAAACGAAACTATTTTCATAGGTCATTTTTTCGAAAGATTTTTCTTTTACAGATACTGTGTGAAAGACGATCGAAAATAAATATTGAAGTTTAAGAGTAAAAACTTGAACTTCTCTCCTTCTCCCTTCGTATCACAGATCATGGTCAGCATCCATGGTAGATTACCATTTTTTTCAATAACCTCTGATAGAAACAAAAAAAAGAAACCTGCTTTTTTCATCAATAGAAAGAAAAGAATATTTTTTATAAAAATAGATAAAAGTTGGATTTGCCAGCTATA